GATCAAATTCAGCCGCTGTCTGGAGAGTTCCAGTGTCTGGTTGATCTGATTGGTACTTCTCCGTGGTTTTTGCGATCAACATCAAGCGAATACCGGGGCAGTATCCTAAGAAATGGGCCACGGACCACGCGCAATCTTTCCTTCCCTTTACCCCTTCTATTCTCGCCTCTTACTTACACTTGCATACACTGCACTTGGGAGATAAATCGGAAGTTTACAGCTTGCACTGGCTGGGGCGGTGCCCGGCAGGTGAGATATACCTGGCTGGGAAACAACCTCGTAAGCCTACTGTAGTTCGACATCGAATCTCTCCATCCAGAGGCAGGCTGAACGCAAGCTAAACTGAAGACGTGCACCGTCACCTACCGTACTAATGATTATAGCAGTTGACGCGCCAGGAAACACGAAATAACCAATCTATCGTAGCAGACGTTCCCTCCACGGGAAGGGAAATGAGGGATATTCCCCCACCCCCAGTAAAATTTTTCACTATCTATTAATTTTAACTTGTCACGAAAGCTTCAAGCAAACATATTTTAGAATAATCATTAAAACGAATAAAATCATATCACAGCATGAGCTAGTTTTGCCCATACTTTTTTCAAAATCTGTAACATGACACCTTCGCCCAAAACATTTTGAATTTCCCCTCCCATTTCCCCTTCGTCTCTAGATACGCCCCTGATCGTAGGTATGTATTACTGTTGCGGTATACATTTAATTCCCAACCATCACACCGCAGAAATCCTTCACGCCACTAGCAGACAAGCGGCGACAAAATTACCTCAAACGCGGCCGTTACTTCCAGCAGCCGCCTTTCCAGCGGCCGGCTGGCGGCGGCGCCTGCGTCGGACAAGCTCTCAACGCGAAGGTCGCCGCGGGGCCCCGCTCGGCTGGAGCGTTCTCCTTAAATTCATAAATAAAGAATTCACATCTTCACTTCTTTAAGTTACCTAATGTTGACAGAGGCGGAGGAAGCAGTTCTCTCGTCTCAATTTTTTGCGCCCTTCCGCCGCCACTGCCTCCGGGTGCCGGGGTGACGGTGACGATGACGACGGAGGCGGCGGCGGCGGCGGCTCCCGACTCCTCCCTTTTCAAAGGTTAATTCTATTGAAATTCAACGCGGGCCAGACCCACTATATTCCTGTAGCTACAGCTCAGGAGCTCGCGGAGTAAAATATTCTCAGCCAAGTCGCGCTTTTCAATATGAGAATGCTACGTTTGATCACCGGCGCAGGGCGGTGCCTGGCGCCTGCAACTTCTGGTCTCCCTAAGTCTTTCCAGCTACAACCTTGCCAGCGTTGTAGATCTCACCTTCAGTCTTCCTTACAGTACCTTACGGGCATGTTCAAGAAATTGGAAATACTGCCACGGGATTCCCAATTTTAATAGAATATTTTTATATCAACCTCAATCATTTTCTCACCAACAACCCTCCCTCCCCTCCCTCCCGCTCCCCCCCTCTCCCCACCCACCACAAGCCGTCCCACCAACCCAACAACCGACTTCTCACCCTCAAATATGTTCTCTACGTTTTATATTCTCAACACGTTTTTTTATCATTCAAATAATTTTCAACAAGAACAAACGTCAGTCACCGTTATATCATTCACTCAATCATCATACACTTCTCCTACAAACCACCTTTCCTCATCATCACCTTTGACTTCCCTACAAGCTTGTTTAGATAGTTCAGCACGTTTCCACTCCACCGTCTCCCACAAGAATTCCTTCGTACGGCGGTGCTGCTTTCTGTCGACCCTCTTGCCAGCCTGGAAGGGGGGCGTGATAGGTAGCGCTGGGTAATGTTAATCTTTACGTTATTTCCTCCGCCGCACCGCCCGATTCCGAATTCAAGGGGGGCGACACGGCGCCCGCGGCCGTATTCACGCTCACTGAAAGGAAGTGTAATGGGGATACGCTAAAGGCGACGACTTCAAGCTGTTCGCGTGCTACTTGACTATCGTCGGTGTGACGGTAAAGTAATTCGGAAACAGGCGCTCATTTTGAAAAGGCAGCGAGTGAACGAGAGTGTTTATTAGAATTGCTTGTAAGCTCCTTTGTGGCGAATTGTTGCTGTGGACTTTTGAAGCTTACCACTAGGAAAAAGAGAAGCCTGAATCCACAGTGCTTTTTGTGTACATTGTTATCGATTGTGTCGAAGAACAATAAATTTACTTATCTTAATTAAATTATATTGACTAAACTCATGAAATTAATACGGAAATAAATCAAGGATGTATTTGTGGTGAAAATCTAAAGACGTGCAAATATTTATGTGCAATCTAAAATTTTCAATAATTAGAAATGATAGAGATATAGTTTTCAAACAATGAAAATCCATTAGTGTGCATATTGACAATAGGCATCAAATACTGGAACACAAAAATTAAATTGGTGTGTTTGTTAAATGTGGTAGAAAGAAGAGATTTGAGCATTTTCTTTGCCGTTTTATTTACAATTGATGTAATAAATAATTTTTTTAATAAAATCAGGAACGCATTTTCTAATTGAAATGGAGTACAATGATTTATACTAATATTTAATATTGACGAACAACTACGAGTATAATAAGTTTCTTTCTTCTACTACAACGAAATTTTCGAAAACAACTAATCTTATTTTTAAAATACCTTCTCCTATTCCTCCTCCAAATGTATTCGTAACGAGATTAATCTATCTCAGACGTATTTACTTCAAGACTCAGGGCACAGGGGAGGACACGAGGCTTTTCAATCGACTTCCCTTATCCCTTTCCCGGCCTGCTCTTGCGCGTTGCCTGAAGAAAAGCAATTCCTTTCGGAACTTCCATTAACGACGCGCCACGTATTTCTCGTTCGCGTCGCGAACCGAGAAGCCCCGAGTTCAAAGCGCGCGCCTGGCAGACGTCTGCTCTCCAGTCCTCAGTCCTCACAGGCCGAGGGCTACAGCTCTGAGTGAAGAAGCCGGAGGCTGTGGTCGCCATCCTTGCCGCAAGGGAGGGGGTGGGGTGGGGGAAGCCTTCTGAAGGAATGGGGAGGGGGAAGAAAGTGGGGTAGAAAGGGAGGGAAGAAGGGAGTGTAACTGAAGACCTCATCAGTTTAGACCTCTGTTACACGGGCGACGAAGACTAATATGTGAGCGGTGGTCCACCACTCGTCTTTTCCTCCGTTTGATCTCCACTCTACCTGCTTGCAAAGGCTGCTCGAGGGCTGTCCATTGTAACGCTTTGTTCGCTCGCTTTCGTTTTCGAACTTAAGATTTTGTTTCTAGAACGTATGTTATTCTGGCTGTGTATTTTTCCTTCTTCTGTATTACTTTTACTGCAAGTTGTATTATTAGCTTTTTACTTATTTTATTTAATGCATATAATTCATAGATTTTCCTCAGTTTACTAACCATGTTAGTAAAAGTATTCTTAAAAATGAACTAGTAAAATTAAACTTGTTTGGTTACACTCCTAACTCGTATGTTCGACAAGTGTACATATACACTCTACCAATTTTTTACACCTTTACATTTGTTCAGTGTAGGCTTTATGGCGATCCAATAATTTATTAATCCTTTACTTACATCTAGAATGTAAGTAAGAAGGTGTGTAAGAAGGAAAATGTGGTATATTCACACAGAAATTTGTCTCATTTACCAATTTACGAATAACAAATCTTCTCATTTATATTTTCCACCAAGATTGTTCTTTTTGAATTTTTATAATTAAATATAGATCGGTTTCGTTCTACAGTTCGTATTTCACTGTATATAATGTTTTTATTATAAGTTCCTTTCATCTCCTCTAATTTCAGATCACATTCTCTCCCTTTCCGTCTCTTCTCTACCCTAACTTCATCTCCTTTTTCTCCCACCTCGTTGCTCTCTTCTCTTTGTTAACCATCTTCCTTCTAAATTGTACTTTTCACCATCACAAAACAGCTGCACTTTCTTACCGAGCAATCAAGCGTTTGTGTATCCTTTCTATCACGACTTTCAACAAGCCCCTCAGCTCTTCGGTATATCCTTCGTTTCGTCTATTTCCTATCTCCACCCTCCGTATCCAAACGCACACATCCAGTCTCACGGCCCCTCGTCTTGCGATCCGCCCGTCATCAGTTCGCTCGCTCCCGCCCCACCCTCCCCTCTCCCCGGCCTCCTTAGGGCCCGCCGTCGCCGGCCCTCCGCGTGTCCGAGGAATAATTAAAACCTCGCCCTGCCAGAACAATAGCGGTGCGACACGCCGTCCTAATGAACGGGGGAAGGGGGGGGCGCCGGGGCGGCGAAGGGGCGGTTGAGGGACGCGAGGGCCGCGCCGGCTCCGTCGACAGCAACGCGGCGCGGCGGCGGCGGCGGCGGCGGCGGCGGCGGCGGCGCGGCGGCGGCACGGCGCGCGGCGGCGGCGGCGGCGGCGGCGGCGGCGACATCGCCCGGCGGGCGATAAATCGGAAGGGCCCGCCCTTCGACACGGCCCTCGGCGGCGGTGGCGGCGCCGTGGCGCCCGCGCGTGTACGGGCGCCGCCCGCCCTTCACCGCCCTTCACCTCCCGCGGATACGCATCTGTGGAGGCCGCCGATGGCGCCGCGTGATTGTAGAAGGTCGGCGTCTCCGGACCTCAAGGACGACCTCGGCTGGAAGGCGACCAACTCGTTTGGTGGAGACGCGGGAGGAATTTCTTGCAAGGGAGGCGCCCAGCCGGCTGAATTCTAGGAGATCTTAGCTAGATCAAATGGGGTAGTACTATGTACAATCGCTTTTATAATCTGATTTTTAAGTTAATTTTAATTACAAATAAATACCAAGAAGTAAAAAAAACCGGCAAAAATATGAAAATAAAATAATGATGTGATGAGATAAAGCCAGCTTGAAATCAATATGTATCTTACGCAAATATTAAATTTTTTGCTCTAAGAGTTTCCAGTTACTTCACATTTTTCAGATCAAGAGATCAGACAAGATCCAGGTAAACACTATTATTGCTCAAGCCATCCGAGATTCGTCGATGTCGTCATCCCTCACAAATTACATTTCTTCTAAAAAGTCACAAAAGAAAAACACTGAAGAAGTTCAGAGAATACAATTTTTATTTCAGAGAATTTCACAAAACAATCTAATGAAAAACGAGTGGAGCCTTCTCCAACTCTAAATTCGACCTAAAATCCTAAAGCGCAAGGAAACTTTAGTGTGAGGTACCGACATTTCCAGAATTTAACCTCTTCACCTCCTACACTTCAAATGAATCAGAGGACTGTTTTAAGCCCATTACATGTCCAGCAAGGAGATTAAAAGGAGGCAGAACATTTACAAGCGAGTGTAACAAGAGCCCAGAGACTGCGACTTCGTCAGCACACACTCGTTGGCGAGAGCAGATCTAAGCTGCCGCTATCGGTTTCCCGTAAAGCGTTCTACTCCGCCCGTCCCTCCCGCTCCGTCCCACCACATGGGGTTTTGATGACCCTTTAATAAGAGAAGCAACAAACATTCTGATTTAGAGCCTCTACGTAGTTAAAATGTGAAAATTAAGGTCGTTTAGTGAGAACTTTGTTTCACGTGGTGCATTGCAGAATGCGAATTTACAAGAAAGATGCGGGAATGGGCTACTTGAATCCGATTCACATAAATTTAATCGAGTTTTGGGACATTCACTCTTCTTTTTGTTGCATTTAGAGTGCGAATAGAAGTTGTGATTTGGCTGTGAAAGTGAAATGTGAATACTATACAATCCGTAGAGATAGATCATACAAGATATTAAAAAACGGAAACATTTGTATTAAGAAAATGTTTGCTACTGGAAATTTTGTAGATGAATATGTGAGAAATTAAAAAGTATTTTAGTCAAAATATTGAGTATCTTCAAATATTCAATGATGACCAAAACATTGCTTGGCTCTTCTCATTGATTTGTATTCTATATATAACTACCCATTTTCACAAGTTTTAATGTAATACAATAATCGTGGAAAAAGCAATCAGATATTTCTAAGCCACAAGAAGATAAGCGGACACACGCATACGTCAGAAATGTACACGCTTTTGTAAAATGTTGCAAATGTCATAAATTAAGTTGACAATTACTAGGAATGGTGAAAGTCATTCCAACACGATACAATGTTGACTCGTCCCTTCTTTTCAGCCTGCTTTTTCACTACATTATTTCTAAGTATGCCTCTGCGTACTTAACTTCAAAATTCCGCCCTCACGTAAGCGCGCAACCTCAGCGGAGGTGTCGCAGAGCTCCGCCTCGCCATCCCCACGTCCCCCGCGGGGCGGCCGCACGCCGCCAGCGGCAGTTACGCGCTCCGCCGACAGGGGCGCTGGGCTCGCCAGGACCTCTCGGCGACAAGGACCGGCAATTAACAGCGCCTCCCTACACTTGTCGGGGCGGGCGCGCGGGTATCTTAGCTATGTGTACTAATTTAAGTGCGCCGTACATCATCTGTAAAACTGTGCCGCCTCACGGCGCCACCGTCGCGCACCACGGCCGAAGCGACCCCGCGCGCCCTTTATTTTATTATTCTTTGTCTTCTTCCGCCCTCGCGACGCAGGAACGACCGTGCCCCCTCAGGCCCCCGCGGAAGAGGATTAATATACGCCTGCGCTGCTACGGTGACAGAAAACGGCTTTCTGTTCAAAGCTGCAGAAATTATATGTCTTAAGAATCCATTAATCTTATTTCCACAGCTAAGGAAGACCGGCCGAGTGTTATATTTCCGGTAAAAGAGGAAAAAGGGCGAAAAAAAAGATAAAGCCGCCTCCGGGAAGAATCCGCCATCTTGTCTCCCGTTACGCGTCCCGTGTCGCTTTTGCACCCGCTCTTCTTTTTTGTCGCCCTCGTGAAAGTAGTGGACGGGAAAACGAGAATAAGTTCTTTTTTATATCTAATTTTCTCTAATATCGCGCGCGACCGTAGCCAAAAGTTTCGGAGCAACGTTACGATGTCGTAAATAACATCGTTTATCATACGAATGTCAACATTTTCTCGTGCGCGGAGACAAAAGAAGGCGCGCGGAATGTCCGGCAGCCGGCGGCGGACGTGCAGGTCATTCCAGGACGAGAACGCATCAATCAGGGGAGGACGAGGCGCCACAGTGGCGCCATCGCCGGCGGTCGCGGGTACTAAGGCGGCGGATACAACGGAAATCCAAGACACGACTCGTTACTTCCACTATTAACGGACTAAGATATGCAAATGAAATTCGATAAGAATTTAGTCGGAAGGATTTAACATCGGTTAGCGGTCGAATGGAGAAGAGGGAAGGGCGAGGGAGAGAGAAAAGGTGGATCTTGAGAGGGGATCGATTTTATTTGCAGATTTTGTGTCCTTGTATAGCTAATGGAGAAAAAGAGTTGTAGAAACACGCATTAAGAGTTACAAGTTTCGAAGAATCTTCCCGGAGAAGTATGTGTAGCCGGAGCGAAGACCTCAGAACAGCCGGGAGTGACAGTTATTTATGGACTAGCTATGCGGAATGTAAAATTTACACTAAACATATGCAGGAAAAGCTATTATTCATACGCAACTGCTTTTGTCGATGGTATCTTGACGCGTTCGCGAAATTAGCATGTCGCGGCGGTGGACAACAATATATGGAGAAGAACGATCTTTTTTAGTTTAGGGCTTCCGTGGAAGCCTGCGTTAGGTACGAAATTTCCGAGTCTAAAAAAAGTCATAAATGAACAGGACATTCTGTAACATGATAACCATCCTACGTAGGTATGAAAACCCTTGGCAATGAAATTAATTAATATACACCTTCAGTTGTATCTTTTATAAGATAATGCGTGAATCAAAAACAATTATTGGGTATAAGTCTGGGAAATGTACGTATCTGAGGTAAAAACAGGATTTTATGCTAATATTTTAATGCACTTTCTTCGTGCAAAACGCGAAAGATCAAAGGATATCATCGTTCTCACTTAAACGTTCTCAGAACTGGCACTTCGTGAGCTCTTTTGTTGCACAGCTCCTTCCTGCTCAGATTTGTTTCAAAGCTTACTTTTAAAGAAGAGATTGTGATTCCTTCGAGATTATTTTTTTTAAACTGACTGCAGATATTCACGTTTCCTGAGCAGCATGACTTCTTTGCTTTGCTTACTGTTCTTCACACATCACATGATACTTCGAAGGGTGAGTAAAGAGATGCTAGAAATTCAATGACAGGCGTCATTTTTTATTGCTAAAGTAATTTTTTAAAACAGCATGAAATAAGAATATAAACCACAAATCTTTGTTGTTTAATGGAAAATAATTCTATAACGATCATTGCCATGAAAGATAAAAGAACGCAATTCCATATTTAAGAAGTGTAGAACTTAAAACTATTTTTCCTGGAGATGTGGAGTAATGAATATAACCAATTACACTTAAGTACATGAATGGTTGTGTATTTAACTAATTTGCACATATTCTCTACCTCATAACTGAATTTAGTGTCAATCATACATCTACTAGTTTCACGAAAGAACTTTTTAGACCATTTTTCCAATCAACGTGTTACACGAAAATAGCTAAATGTATTCATACATTCCATGAAAGAACAACACAAAGCATTCTCACGCACTCATCACATTCACCCCACACCCAGAGCAGAATCCCTATGCCACAGAACGCGCACAGTACGACGCAAGTAATCGAGATTAATCCCCAGTGTTATCGCGATGAAAAGTTAATATACCGGACCATTACTGCGGATTTTATTTTATCTCCTGTGTCAATTTATCACACGGCCGAGCGAGCCAGAGGAATTCAACCGGGATAAATTACAACTCCACACAACTGTGGATGCAAACATTGCAATCCCTAGCCACGCATCGCGTCGCATCGCCACGCTCGACGCGAAGTGTTTGTGTCGACGCCGGGTGCAGCCAGCGCGAGGACAAACATATCTCGTACTGGGCTCTGTCGAAATAGACTGGGACCCTTCCTCGCTTTCGCGCATTGCCGGGGCGCTCGGAGGCTTATCTGACAGGGCCGCGGGCGAGAGGCGACGGCTAAGGGCGGGGGCGGGGCCACGGGGGCGAAACGAGTCGCCAAAACAGCGGAAAACCCGGGGACGTTTTAACCGGAGCGGCAGAGCCAGAGAAAGCGGGCCGAAGACGTCGGTGGGGGAGAGAGGGGGGGGGAAGCGGGGATACCCTTTAAGCAATCGGGCGCGTGCGCGTGGGGTGAGGACAGCGGGAACGGCAGAGGGACAGCGGGGAGACAGCGTGAGACTGCCTGCGCGAGCCGGCAGCCAGCACCTGCATCTCCACGTCCTCCCCGCTCGGGGCTCCGTCCTCCCTATAGATTACCGCGTGGATCCTCGCCGGAGGACCAAGGGACCCTAATATTTCTCGTCGTTCCGTTATCTGCTGGCGCGACGCGGCGCGGTCCGGTCGCTAGCGCGGCGCGCGAGCGCGGGCGCTACACCCTCCCAGCCTCCACCGCCGCACTTGCACCCCACCAGCCAGTCTTCTCGCCCTCCTCCAGCCTCTCCCCGCGGAAACGGCTCAGGCGACCGGGCTCCCGAGAGCCATCTAATTCTTGGCGGCGACCGAGAGGGCGGGCGCCGCCGGGCAATCCTCGCCGGCCGACGACGTCCTACTGTCACCCGTCTCGAAGTCCGTCTGCTGAGACGCTCCTTGCACGGCGTGCGAGCGGGAGGACGAGGTGGATGGGGACGAGCGAGCGCGCGCCGGGGGCGTGCGGGCGGGCGGACGACGAGACACAATAGTGTCTCGCTAAATTGGCGGTGATCATCCCCCCGAATTGGACGGCCTCGGAGCGCGGCGCGGGGGAGTGGGGACGGGAAGGAGACGGGGCGGGGGCGTGGAAGACAGCGGGACAGCGTGGGACGCAGTGGCCCCCAGCGGCACCGGGAGCGGCGTGGCTTGCCTGCGAGATGGCGTCTCCTACGAGCCCGAAGAGCTAGGAGGGTTGGAGGGCGGGATGGGAGGAACGGGTGATGCTGTGACACGCTGGTAGGTAACAGCGATGCAGCATGTGAGGGCGCCATCTGGAAGTGACTGGACGACATCTCACAACAAGAGAGAAGCGTATGTAGATAACACGTTAATTATTATATACAAAAGTTATGCCAGGCAACGATCGAGAGAACTGACAGAACCGACGAAATATTTACGTAAAGAAGACACGCGTTCTAGAGGGAAGGGAGAAGCAAAGTACATGCGTCAGGAAACATTAGGGAAACATTTTATCAAAAATATAGAAGAATTTGCAACATTAGTGAAGTGGCGCAAAGTACTAACAAAATAAAAGTAGATCACGTATTAGAATTTTATTGTAAGAATAGTTGTGCAGATAACATTGATAAAGCATATTAACTGATTGTATTGTAAAATGATCCAGTAAAAGTAATGAGGATAAATAGATTACACAAAGGACAAACAATAAAAAATTGGACAAGTCATTATTCATTTTCATTATAAATGATTAACAGAAACAATTCAAAAGTTGGCCTCTTGAAATTTTATCGCCTCCTGGGCGTAAGATGAAGTGTGGTGATTTGAATATATTAATAATAGATGAGGTGGCTTGTGACATTGCTTTGCCAACCGCTCATACACATACATCATTCCGAATATCAGAGAGCAACGCCAACTAACATTCCAAAGCATGCGGCTTAAACCAGCACTATCCGTTAGGTGACATCAGGGACATAAGGTACATCAATGACTAATAAAATAAACAAATATTAAGAAAACGAAAAACCGCATCAAAGTGACTGGCCTTACAGGTAAAGCTGAGAGTGTTAGCTTACGAGCCCCTGATACAACACGAGGTATTGCAGTGAGGAATTTGAGCAAGATAAAGTTGATTTGCGTAATCTTTCCTGAAAGATCTCCTGTTTCACAGTGTTTTATTACTCCGTAATTCCATTCTGCATGTATCAGTTACTTCGACTTCAAGTTATTCGTCACCCACCTAGGGTGGTTGTAATGAAAAATAATTGCAATTAGATGGACGAAACACAAAATACAAATAAATTAATTCAATTTCATATATGTCAGTAAAATGAACTTTAACTCGTAAAACTAGTGTCGGTTGCTAAGTTGGATTAATAAAATCAAGCTAGAGAGAGCTCGTCCAATTATTTGCCATTCAACCCTTTAATATAACAAGCAGAAGAACGAATGGTAAACCAAATTGCTAAAAATCTAGGCAAAGTAAAAGTAAAAATGCAAAGATGTGTTGAGTTCTCTAATATGAAGAAGAAATTAAAATACTGGACAATCGAATATTTGGGTTCTTCAAGGTTTGAGTTACCAATAGAGAACAAGGTGAATACATATAAATCAAGATACTCCATGGATGTTGAGTTTTACAACTTCACGAAAGTGCACAAAATCGCACAGAAGCGCAAGCACCCCACTCTGAAGAAGCAAGTTGGCAGGAAGTCGGAAGCGGCCCGAGACGAGGGGGAAGGAGGAATGAGGGGCGGGGAGGGGTGAAAGAGAGGGCGGGGGAGGGGCGTCAGCCGCGCAGACAGATGGGCGCATTTCTCAGCGCCCGACGCGCCGCGCAGCGCCGCGACGCCCGGCGAAGCGCCCCGCGCAGCGCGCAGTCTGTTCAATCTGCGCCCCGCGCAGCCAGCAGCAGCGCCCTTAATTGAAGGCGCCGCCCACCCCGCACACTGGGCCCCAGTGAGACGAAAAATAAAATAATAATAAAAATGTAATAAAATAAAGTAAAATGGCATGAAATAAAATAATATTAGGAAAAATTAAGTAACAAAATAAATATAAAATAAAAAATTAAATAACATAAAATAAAATAATATAAAATAAAAATGAAATGAAAAAATACAGTTAGATAACATAAAATAAAATACTATTAAATATATAATGCACAAACTTTCTCGTTCAAAGTCACCGCACAACATGCTTTTTCATATACATTGAAATTGAAATATAATTCGCAATATAATAAAACTAAAATTTATTTCACATCCACAACATAAAGTGCAAACCTAATACGAGTCGGGCTGGCACTTGTGATATATCGATCACCGCAGCTTCCTGCTCCATTTTGGCAATGGTGAAGGAACTATCGACGTCGACGGATTACTTTATCGAGCTGCGAGAGCCAGACCCAGGTTGCCATGTTCCTTAATTAATCAGGCAAAATGAATCCAAAGGAAATTGCAGACAGACCGCGTACATGTAAGTTTCTCAAAAATAAGAGCCAATAGTTACATTCCATGATAGTTTTAATAATTATTCGTAATGTTAGTAAATTTGCAATACACAACTTCACGAATTACCAGCAGCTGGAGAAACAAAATTATGTTTATTTTTCTCTACGTTTTCGACGTCATTCCCACTGTGCGTCGCGAAGGGACTGAAATATTCGTCGCTGCGTCGGAGCCGCGTCTGGTCCCGAGGCGCCCGCGTAATAATGCTCTCCCGCTGGCCCACTGTCTCTGGCGAAT